AAAAAAAAAAAAAAAAGTACACTTCCGTAATGTACTTAAAGTGCTCTATTTCCACTCACTATTTTTATACTTAAGTACTAAAGAATCATTTTTAGTATATTAAGATCAACTATGTGTACTCAACTGTGCTATTTTGGGACACCATGAATATGAAGTAAAATGCGCTTTTAACATACTATCTCTGCATTTAAAATGTATTTAGTCAGCACTTGTAGTACACTTGAACCATCTTTCATACACTAGTACACTCAAGTGTACTACAAGTGCTGACTAAATTTTACCTGGGGGTTTATATTACGAGAGAGAAAATTCTGATAAACTCCAAACAGAAGGTTCCAGGTGACTTCACTGGAAACGGTCACATTTACGTGCATTCATTCCACTCGCATTGCATTTGAAGTTAGTACACTCAAGTGTACAACAAGTGCTGACTAAATACATTTTAAATGCAGAGATAGTATGTTAAAAGCGCATTTTACTTCATATTCATGGTGTCCCAAAATAGCACAGTTGAGTACACTTAGATGATCTTAAGATGTACTAAAGAATAATTTTTAGTATGTTAAGTACGAAACTAGTGTGTGAAAATCGAGCACAGTAAGTACATTACGAAAGTGTACTTTTTTTTAACCTGGGAGAAACTGGAAGAAAGCAGAGTACGGCTGTTTCTAAAGCACGCGGTGCCATCTGCGGTTCAATACCAAGCTCAGAATCGATTCAAGAGAGAATCTCGATGCATGAATTTGTCGTCCCAGCCCTACTAAGATCAGAAATTATGAGCAGGCGATGAATATTGGTCAACGAATAATCTAATGAGAATACCACAAAACTTTGGGATACACCATTGATTAAACAAAGCTGATGATACACGGTAGCGATGGGCGCTTTCGAAGCACTGCTTCAGAGCATGCATCAAACCGCCGAGGCACAGCACTTACACAGCCACAAATCACGGTTCTTATTATTCATGACACACTCACTAAACAGTTCAGATTCTGCAGTCATTTCTTTGTTTACATTAGTCAGACACACAAATGCATAAACAATGTCGTGAAGTCTCTCTATATTAATAATGCATAAATATATCTAAACTTAATGTTTGATTAGTAATATGCATTGCTAAGAACTTCATCTGAACAACTTTAAAGATGATTTTCTCAATATTTAGATTTTTTTGCACCCTCAGATTCCAGATTTTCAAATATTGTCCTCTCCTAACAAACCATACATCAATGGAAAGATTATTTATCCAGCTTTCAGTATGAATCGACAAAACAAGACCTTTATGACTGGTTTAGTCGCATCTGATTACACAATAACTGCATTAGCGCACATTAGAGATACCTTGACGGACACATGATGCTCGGAATGAACGGAGACGGGCCACAAACGCCGAAACTACTTCATTTAAACACGAGCTGTGGCTTCATCTCAATAAAGGACTGATGTGGTGCCTGAAGATCTCGTTCTGTCGGCAAACCGAGTTTGATTAGCCGCTTCTGCGCTAGTCTGCAAGCTAATCTTAGCATTAGCATTAGCACACAGATCTCCGCCGACGGCTTTCATCGACGCTACACGAGCGAAACCGCCGCGCGTCCGGCTAGAGGAGTCCGCGGAGCCGCTGAGCCGCGGGGAGCACCGGGGAGCGGCGGGGAGCACCGGGGGCGCTCGGTAACGGCACCGCGGCGCGCTGAGGCGGGTTGAGTGGCGCGAGCTGCGCGGGCCGTGACGAACACTCCCGCGCCGGGCGCGCGCAGCCATCCCGCGCAACACATTATGCAATAATCCCGCCGCCGCTCCCGCGCGCCGCAGACCTCTGTTCTTACCTGTGTGGCGCTGTATTGTGCTCCACCGGGACACCGTGTGTTAAAAGTCACGAAAGCCAGTGCAGAATTGAATACTTAGTTGTGTGCGAGCAGCGAGGCCGAGGCGGAAGCAGCGCTGCGGAGGGTTGCCAGGTGTCTCAGTAACACCCGCCCAGCTGACGCGGTGTAATCTCACTGCTGGCGGGAAATACACACATTTAAATCCACGTGTCGGGCTCCTCCTGACGGAACTCAGCATGCCAGAGGCCTATACGCAGTGCTGGGAGTAACTCGTAGGAGTTTAACTACAAAATAAATGTAACTGTAATCATGTAAAACGTTACCGCTTACCCAAATTGCATCGACTGCTCTAAACTATGAGACACCAATGCTTATTCGATTGCTGTTTTATTTCCTATTTGGGTTTCCCCCCTCCTTGGACCCCTTCCAGTTTGCATATCGGTCCAAACGCCCGACCGATGACGCCATCGCCACTACCCTCCACTCAGCACTCACACACCTGGACAAAAAAGACTCATACGTCAGAATGCTGTTCATAGACTTCAGTTCAGCATTCAACACAATCATCCCTCAACAGCTCATTCACAAACTGGTCCAGCTGGGGCTCAACACTTCGCTGTGCAACTGGCTGTTGGACTTCCTGACTGGAAGACCTCAGGCAGTACGGGTCGGCAGCAACACATCCAGCAACATCACACTGAACACTGGTACGAATTGAATTAAAGGGTTAGTTCACCCAAGAATGAAAATTAGCCCATGTTTTACTCACCCCCGAGTCATCCTAGGTGTATACGACTTCATTCTTTCAGACGAATCCAGTCGGAGTTATATTAAAAATTGTCTTTGATCTTTCAAGCTGTTTCATGGCACTCAGCGGGTGTTGCATGCATCAGTCCAAAAGAAGT